ATAGTATGTGATAATGGTACAAAGACAGAAATAAGAGTAGAGATGGAAATAATAAATAAACTGTGGTAGGTCCAAGTGTTGGGAGAAAAAATTACACAGAAAATTTCAAATTTAAATAAAATATAAATGAAATGGGTATTGACATTGTGAATTATATAACATATTTCAATAATAAAATAGAAATTAATATGAAATATGATACAAGTGTGTTGATGCTCAAGGAATAGTTTAATTATATAAGGTAATGTCATTACTCTCAAATTACTGAACAGAAACTCCTCAGCATTGCCAAACAATTTAGCAGTGATATCAACATAAACCTAGTGTTTACTTCACAAAAAATTTAAAAAAAATTAATTTTAAAGGCAGAATTCCTAGTGATCTAAAACCCCCTGTGGGGGATACATTTACTTGTGCAAGATGTAATTCCTGTTACATTCAGGAAGCCACACCTCATCTCGCCACAAGGATCAAATAACACACAACCAGTGACATACAAAAAGCCACACATCACCAAAACACCCACAAAAACCAAACTGCAAAACTAAATACACCTGCTCTTGCTTTAGTATCCCAGACACTGCTAACACCTCCTTCTCTCGAAATCAAGGCTGTTAATCAAGGAGGTTCTATACATGTTGTCAATCAGGCTTGTAATTAATTAGGCTATTCCATGACCATCAACTCACTTATATCATATTCTATTTCATATAATTCACAGTGTAAATAATTTTTTCATTTGCACTATATTTTGTCATTTTTTTTAAATGCCTAATTGCTGTTATGCTAATCAGATGAAGTATTACATCTCCAGTCCAGAGAAACCACCCATGATCTTGACCATAGTTAATATCAACTGTGTCTATATTAACTGTGTCTTGACACATCTCCTCTGAGAAATATTATCAAATGAATTCTCAAATAACACACCTCCTCTGAGAAAAACTGACACATGTACAAACACCTACAAAATGCTAACTGCATATTTGTGCCCTTAAAATGGGTTATATTTAAGTTGAATCATGCTTGCTATAATCTTTCATTTTAAAATTTAAATGCTTAATAACGCAGTTGTTTACCTCAAATACTTTACTGTAAGAGCCAATAAAAAACTGAGTTTCATATTGACAATGGTGTAAACAAATCTAGCCTTCTAGGGAATAAACAATATCTCATGTTTACAGAACATACATGCATGCAATATCCATTCTGCTATAATTTAGAAGCAATTAACACATATTTTATAGAGTTAGGGGTAGTATTAAAATTGTGAAATACAGTTCTGTTTACAAAAGTATCACGAATAATATCTTTTTTCAAATGTAGTAAATCGCCCGTAAGATTTTTTATCAAGTACAACTAGCTATCAAATTAAAAAATAAATCGCTACGAATTTTTCAAATATTTTAAATTTTTAGCGAAACTTCAAATATTATTTGAAGCAGATACACTTTAAAACTAAAGTTTCAAATTAACTACTTTTCTCAATACAAATTATTAATTAAAACGAAATCGATGAATAACTTTAAAGTGCCATAAACTTTTTGGTACAGCCACATGTCAAACTTAAACCGAACGACTATAAGGTTTAGTACAAAAGATACTTACAGTATTTATCTTTAAAAACCACTCTAAAAGCTTCTATATTGTAGATTTTTTACCATCCATTTGAATTTCACTTCTAGAAGAATCCAATTCCAATCAAATTTTCTCTCAATCTGTATATTTTCAGGATAATAAAACAACAAAAGAGTCAAAAGTATGATATTAATATTTCAAAAGTTTTAAAATGGCAGTTATGATCGAACTAAATTTAAATTTAACAATCGTAAGTTGGCAAGTTGGCTAGTTACCAGTTCTAGCTCGTAATAAACCCAATCTCGTACCCAGAGCCTGCGATCCTTTCTTGAATCCAAAAGCGCATGCGCATAACTGACAACAACGCTAATTGCTAATCTCCGATCGGATTTAGTGACCGATGACCATATACTCGGGATAAACAATATAAAATATAGTAGTCGTATAAAAATAGTCCAATAATTCTTGGGTAAATCATCTGCTATATCTGATGTCAATAAGGTAAGCCACAAATATTTTGTCATTCAGCTAATCTTCATGTGGTGACTAATTCATTTATTGTACTCTGCGAGTTGTAAATTATTCCACTCTTTACCTGCTCATAGCTAATAAAAATCACTCTAGAATGTGCAACTAGCCCAGGAGCATTCAGGATGCAAAGTAGCAAATTAATGACAGTCTGAATAGCAGAATTGCAAAAGTTAATTAATTTAAAAGTTAAAACCCTATTACACGGTGCGACTTTTCTTGCAACTTGGAATGCAATTCTACTTTTGAGAGATGTAACTTTGGGAACTACGAAACCTTTCACCTATGTTTTCACAGATGAGCTATATACAGATATGAAACAGAAGCCACATCGAGCCACACGGTTTTTTGCCCAATATGCGCTTTCGTAACTTGCGTGGCAAGTGTCATGTTGAAATTTTATGAGTAAATCCATGGAAAAATCGAATTTTTGTCAAACAAGTGCTGATTTAAAACAAAACCTTTAGGGCCATGTCCCATTTGACTTGAAATTTTTAAAAAGATGGATGAAGTGGATCTTTTTAGCTAAGAACTAGTTCATGAAAGTATTTGACGCTGGCAAAAACAGTAAGAAATAGAGCTAAAGAGTGCAGGGTTCGCCGTATGGAAAGCTGTGCAATAATTTACCACTGGCTGAGCTATTTGTGAGTTCAGAAAACATATAATACACGCTTTAGATACAATGATATCTCCAGGAGATGAATTAACAAATATAGTTTATGAAAGTATTTGACGCTGGCAAAAACAGTAAGAAATAGAGCTGAGCCTGAGGAGTGCAGGGCTTGGCGTATGGAAAGCTGTGCACTAATTTAGCACAGGCTGAGCTATTTGTGAGTTCAGACAACATATAATATATGCTTTAGATACAATGAAATCTCCAGGAGATGAATTGACAAATATCTTGGGATAATAGAAATAATAAAACGAAATGTTAAGAGGTTAAAAAGGACTTTGTGTATATTTAAGATGAACAACAACAGCATGCATGTAAATACGACGAGCAATTCAGCGTATTTAGCGATTTTGGGCGTTTAGTTATAAAAAACAACTTCATCACTCGTCTTGGACTGTTTTTCACACAAAGTTTACAAATTAATGCTTATGCGGGACTATTATGACCATACACGGGTCTTTTTAGCGTAACTCTGAAGACAAAAAGTAAAGACATGGCCATATTATGTTTTGAGTTTCATGTTTAATATTAGCAATCAGACACTCAATATGCTTTGATATTATTTAAAAAACAGACAGATAGAAACTTGAAAAATTCAGATAAATAATATTTACATGTAAGCATGGGACTTCATTGGTTTGATAGCAAACTTGCCATCTTTTCAAAAAGAAAGAAATGGCACGAAGAAAGGCAAAAAGAACATGGAGGCCTAACCACTTGGAAACATTCCGGAACTCAAAGCACTCATTAAACGAAAACGTAATTGAAAGGCAAACGGTCGGATGACGAGGAGAAACAGGGAAATACCTTTCAGAACAGTTATTACTGCAGGGCTCCCAGGACCTTTAACTGTCTAGCATCATACCTACGCCAGCTAAATATTTCAACCTGCCAATTTAAATGTAGACTTTTTAAGTACTATGAAAATCTTACTGAAGAAGTATTTGACATTGATATTCCACAAACGTTTAAAATAGTCTGTGTAAAGTGTCATTCGTGTCGTCCCTTATGCAGTCTTTCTGTTAAATTGTGTTGTTATTGATATGTTAAGCCGAAGGAAATATTAGTTTGTTGTTAGACTGAAGCACTAAACAAAATTTCTAAATATTTTTCACGATAACGTACGACTTCGAGGGGTGATATATTCTTTGTCTTAACTTCAATTTGTGTTTATAGCATGCATAAAAAAGTTACCCGCGTAAAGGAGCACTTAGCTCTGTGGGTTTACCAGTATTTAATTGACAAAGATCGCCAAATAAATAAAATAAAACAAAATTGCGAAGAATTCAGCCAGAGTACATATATCTCATAGTGCCAACGCAAATATCTTTCGACATCAATTGGATCAGCTTTTTTGATTTTCAAAAGTCAATTTTGGGCCTTAGATATGCTCAATTGCCTTTCCTCAATTAACGAAGGATACACATACCTATATTCTTTAGAAATTTATTCCAGAAATAGCTATAACTGGCGCAGATTTTTTAAAAGCAATTTTTCGTCTTAAAAACTCATTAAATTCCCTCATGACACTTGCCAATTAAGCTCGCCGGAGGACGGAGGTCATCACGCGCTGGCTGCGAAACAATCACAAAACAATCAGGAAAAACACAGAAGTTTCATATCTGTATATAGCTTATCTGTGCCTTTATGTTCATTACACTCCATGCACGTTTTTTACCTATACAGGGTGTCCCAAAAAAATGTCCCCTCTATTGAAATCAAGCCTTTGTTCGAATCTGATTGCCTTAATATTATGATAAACCCAATTGAAAGCAAGACGCTTTATTGAATGCCTCAACCTAATAAATATGCTATTTACACACTACTGCGTTGATCATGCATTCAAATTCCAACAAAAGCTTCATTTCAATAGCGGGGACTTTTTTTGGGACACCCTGTACCTAAAAAATGTCCCCTCTATTGAAATCAAGCCTTTGTTCGAATCTGATTGCCTTAATATTATGATAAACCCAATTGAAAGCAAGACGCTTTATTTGAATGCCTGTACAGGGTGTCCCAAAAAAAAGTCCCCGCTATTGAAATGAAGCTTTTGTTGGAATTTGAATGCATGATCAACGCAGTAGTGTGTAAATAGCATATTTATTAGGTTGAGGCATTCAAATAAAGCGTCTTGCTTTCAATTGGGTTTATCATAATATTAAGGCAATCAGATTCGTACAAAGGCTTGATTTCAATAGAGGGGACATTTTTTGGGACACCCTGTATGTTCATTACACTCCATGCACGATCCTTCACAACTCGTGCATAAAAATCGTACGCACTCGCCAACGATGAAGTAATCTCTATATATTAAGCATATTTTTCCTTGGGCTTGGATCCTGTGGACATGGCGTCTAAACAACAAGATAGACAAAAATGAATTTGAAAACGCTCAAAAATAACGCTCCTGTGCACATACCTAGCCTAATTAGGCTTCTGGGATTTGAAAATACGTTTCCAGGAGCTGCACTATCAAAATAAGCCACAAAGTGAATTAAAATTACTTCGATTACGAATGGCTCAGCTAATAAGAGATTTAACAACCATTTTAGACGGAGGTTGAGTTTGCTCCTATAGTTTAAAAACAGAAATCTCTTAGTTCTGTTCTTAACTGAGCCAATCGTAAGTAATCAAAGTCATAAGTTTAATTCACTTTGTGTGTTTGTTTTAAGGTCCCATATGTCGCCGATGGAAATCTCGAAACCGTAGATAGTCAGTTGCATCATTTAAATCGATACTAGGTAGCTAGAACACTGCCGATTTTATTGACCGACATATATATATATATATATATAATATATATATTATATATATATATATATATATATATATATATATATATATGTTATTTACCGGCTGCGAGGTCCGGATGCAAAAAACTGTGCCGGAGGTCTCGAAAACGGCCCGAGGCCGTAGGCCGAGGGATGTTTTTGAGACCGAGGGCACAGTTTTTTGCATCCGGACCGAAGCTGCCGGTAAATAACGTGTTATTTTTTAACCTTGACTTTTTTGACTTTATAAAACACAAAAAAATACAACAAATTTAATGAATAAACTATAAAAATTTTAAATTCTGCAAGCCATTTTAGAATTTTAATACGTCAACAACTCCTTATAAGGATATCCTAGTCGGGAAACAGCCAATGAAATGGCAAATATTGTTACCATAGCAACTAAATCACGGCGAATCGATTAAAAAAACAACGTATTGACAAGCGAAAAATGCCGTAAAAAATCCAAAAAGAGAAGTTTTTCGGGTATGTTTTTTATTTTTAACATTCATTTAGCCTTTTCCAGAAAGGTTTTCACACATTTTAGCCGTACGTTGCTTTGGTTTTGTCGTTTTGCTTGCATTTTTCACAGCGGGCCGATGCATTTTGCAGCGGGCCGGATGCAAAATTTTGGCCCGCTGTGAAACGCTTTACAGCCAATCAGATTGCTTCATTTACAGAGTTTAAAAATAAATAATGTTAATGACTAGCGGGCTTTTCATCCATGCATTGCAGTCCAGTGGTCAAGGGTTCGGTTCTTGTGCTTGATACCTGTATTCGAATACTGCCTGTAACCACTTTGTTTTTTCTTTTTTTCGTATTTGCAAAGTCCCGAATTGAACCAGTGAAAATACCTTTTGGTTAATTATTTGGGTTATTTGAGGGTTTGGTTTATTTTCTGTGTATATTTGTCGTTTCGCAAGACCGAAAACGCATCGATCGATTCGCGTTCACACTACCGTTTTCGTAGCGTATTCGACTGTTCACACTAAAACGCTTGAATACGTACGATGACCGGATCGTAGTCTGACGTAAAACGGTGATTTGCGCATCCTCGGCATTTGTTCGACTCGCGCTTGTTCGACCAGGTCGAATACAAAATCTTCTAGTTGGTCTGCAAGACCGATTTTTTGCTCGAATTGGACCTGGAGAAGGCCCAAATAAAATGTATGCTCGTAAGACAGCTATTTGTTTTCGGTGTGAAGCCATCATGGCGTTATACAACGCAACAACTCCAGATCGTGCTCGTCCGCCATGTTTGGTTGGAATTATGCCGCGACTTAAGACCTGGAAATGAGTGGCAATCACTGGTGGCAATCGATGCGTGTGACGTAATCGTTTTCAAAAGTACCGTCTTCAAGTGTTCACACTAATACGATATGTATGCGTTTTCATTTGTATTCACTTTCAACAGCGTATTCAAATCGATGCGTTTTCGGTGAATAATTCAAGCACGTTATTCTTCAGTGATCACCTACAATGGTTATCGCCAAAGGTATTGTGTTAAAAAATGCGAGGCTTCCTGTGTGAAACGATGTTGCGACACCACCACTTTGTAACGTTTCGGGACAAACCCGATGCCCTTGGAGCTAAAACCGAAACGTCATTCGGAAAGGCGGACTAAAGATACGCGGTCAAAAATCACACGATTTTCCGGTGGACTGCACTGGCAATGTTACTCCAGGTATACGAGTTCATTTGCTAGACTGAAATTTTCGCAATTTGTGAACATATAGTGTAATTGATTGAGAGAAAAAATAATATAGGCAGGAGGTTTTGTGTGCAGAAGATAAGGGTCAGGAAAAGCATGCACAGTGTGGATCCAAATGGAGATCTGCTTAAACTTAACATTGGAAAGTCAAATTATACAGCGAAGAGGTTAACATTATAACGTATAGGCGGGAAAATAACTTACGAATAGTTTACAATTGCGCGGCTTTGCAAAGTGATGTCATCATTCAGTCCTGGGTTTTCTAAATTTGAATCCTTTCCAAGTGCAGACACTTTGAGTAAATTTACATGCATTTCAATCAAATTTACGGCTTTTGTGAGAGGGGATTCGTTTGAATGCTCAGCTGCATAAGGTATTTCTTCTTCGTGGGCCATGTTTTCAGATCAATCTAACAAATTAACGCGTATTTTTCCTGGGGTAACATTGCGAGTGCAGATCACACCGTGTGATTTTGGACCATTTTACCGCGTATTGTTAGACCGCCTTTCCGAATAAAGATTTGCCGAGATCCGAAATGGTTTTGGCTGCAAGGGCATCGGGTTTGTCCCCGAAATGTTAAACAGGAAGTCTAGCATTTTTTAACCCAATACCACTCCATAATCGCCAACCGTCGATGACATATCGACGTCGTCCCAATTTATATACCAGACGAAACAGAATCGCGCTTTTAAAAGCTGCATAGGAATTGCGAAATTATTTATGTGGCAAAGAGTGCACAAGAGCCGCATGAATTTTGTGCTTTGTCCCAACCCCGTATTTATACTAACAGACGGATGATGCTTTAAGACGAACTACTATGCGGATAACGTGTTGACGGATGATCCGTCTGTTTGCCCATGTTAAGGCATGTTTACTCCCAGACGAACTGGAAGAACTATCTTTCGCTTGCCCAAGTTTTTCTAGACGGTCTCTAGTTGTCTCGACGCGATTTTAGTCAACTGACTGCAATCGGAATATATCAAAACAGTTTGATATTTGTCGATGAAGATCGGCTGACAAAAACCGCGTTGTGTGCGGCTGGCTTTCGACACGATTTTTCTTTCTATCATTTCGGTGGAAAAATCTCACATGCGCGGACTACAGGCAGTCCCAAAAAAGTAATTATCGCCTAGCTTCAGCTCGAGCTTGTATTTCTGAAACAACTAAGAATTTTTGATACACCAAAGTATTGTTTTACAAATTTACCGAAACGTTCCTAAGGCATTTTACATACCACTTGTTTGGTGAAATCATTGGTGCTTTTCTCCGAGTGGTAACATATGCGCCAATTATTGTTTGACCATGACTGGCGCGATTAGAGAAAAATTCTTAAATTCAGGGGTACAGTATTCTGCAAAAATAAATTTAACAACAAGCTTGTAACCAAGGTACTCTGAATTTATGATCCTGCGCTGACAATTATGCAGTGTTTAAGTTCTATGTCTAGTTTAAATAATATGTGCCATGTTCACACTGTCTTTCCAGCTCATGGTATCAGATGGCCAAAATTTCAAACACATCCAGGTTTGGTCAAAGTCTGGTACGCCGGATAAATAATGTTCACACACCTAACCTAGACCTGGTCTAAACCAGGTAAAAGCTCATAGTGTAAACACAGCTTTATTTTAATCACCAACGGCCTGTTATAAATTAGGTAAGTATATAGTTAGTTAAGTATATAGTTTTTACAATGTTAGGGTTATAAAATTAGTTGCTCGAGAAAATCAATTTCACCCTTGCTCAAAGGTACAAGGAACATGGTGAAACCACAGATAGCTAAAAGTGCGTATAGATACGCAAAGGAAGTGGTAGGCAGATAGGCTGTGGTCACCCAAGTGAGGAACTAATGTAGATTAGGGAGAAATTATGGGCAGTAGAATATGTGTCAGCCCTGAGAAACAAACTTCTCATGGTTGAAACAGCAGACAGTATATATAAAAGAGAAAGGTGAGAGAGCGAGAGAGGGTTTTGAACAGAGTGTCAGAGTGTTTACGGAAAATAGTGATCAGACTTGTAATGAGCTATTGTTAATAAAAATTGAAAACAAATTGTGGTATTGTGATATACAGTATGTACAGTCCCAACGAACGAGAACCAGCAACTATAAAATCTGAGGGATTTTATAACACACCCACCATTATTACAATTGATGTGGCTTACACAGTAGTTACCATTAGGTTGGTACTATCTAATCAAATTTTTGCATCCACACAGTCAATTAGAGCAGAATTGAACTGTTTACTAGCTATTTGATTTTGTAAAAATGAACAAACAAAATATTTAATAGTTCCTAACCTGCATTCAGGTAATCCTCATTAAGAAAAGTCCCTTGTAGAGCCATTTTATGGAATTGCAGTGCTGGAACTAAAAGAGTTTAAGACATGCCTTTCAAATTAACCATGGTACATCAGTTGTGTTATGAAGAGAACTGCAGGTTTTTAGGAAAAAAACACAAATAATTTCAAATGTGTATAAATGATATTTTATGTCTTACATATTGATGTTCTAGTAAAAATGCAATTGAATAATTGCATCTTGTCTTTCTAATAACTCAAATGTTGACGAATAGACCTTTTCAGCTTGCATGCAAATTAACCCATTTCAAATGTTGTGACCATGGAATAGTCAATAAACCATTTGAGACCATGTTACTTGAAATGGGTTAATTTGCATTAAATCTACAAGGAGATTGGTCTAATCTAGCCTAAGCATTTCCATAACCATCATAAAAAAGCATGAATTTTGTCAATATCACTTATTATCCTACCCCCTCCAAATCCAAGCCCATTTGCCAAGCTTTGCCTTGTGGAATGCATAAAAAGATTGTTGGTGAAACTCAACTTTTATCACTCTTACTGAAGCAATTAGAAAGATGAGAAAATTTGGTAAGCTTTTAGTTAAGCTTCCAATGATAATACATGCAATCATGTTTGGAACCATAAGGGCAGCCTCATGTAGTTACATTATACTACTTATGCAGCATTGACTGGGATCTTTTTTTAAAGTATGCGCAAATGACGAAAATATCA